ACATTTGCATAATCGTTTTGTCTACGTTGTTCAAAGGGGCATAATTTGATTATCGAACTTTGTAAGAAACTGACAGTATGCAAATTTTGCAACAAACTTTCAGCCGCAAGAGGAAATTGTATATAAAGAGTGACTTTGGAGGGTGGATGGTGGGGAATGTTTCTAAAGGGCATTAACTAATTGTCCTTGTTAAAATACAAGTATAACCTACTGCACCATTACTGCATTCTACTGCAACACAGTGCAACACATTGTAGTGCCTAGCAGATCATCCAATCAAAATAAACTTAGTCAGTTTGTTGTAATTGAACTAAAAATATGATTAAACACTTTTATTTTCTTTAAATAGTGTTTTGGAAAAAAAAAGAAGAAAGAAACAGACTGAATGAACTATTTTATTCACATTCTACTAATGTATGACTGTTCTCTTTCATATAAATCTCAATTAACAATCCAGTAATTACATCAAAAGAATTGTGTCGGAGGACTTTTTCGACAAAGTTACGCATTGATAATATTTTATCGAAGCACTAGTTTGGATATGCACATTACATCCTGAAGAAATGATCAATCCTCTTTGACTGATAAGGGTTTTATTTTATTTGTGAGAGAATAAATATATCTTTTCTTTATGAAAATTTGACGACACTTTATTGCGATGCATTTACACTGCAAACTTTAGTTTTTCTTAATTTTGTGTTTTGAAATAAAAGTTGAATGGATTCTATTTAATTCAAGTTAAATTAATTAAAATCTGGATGGATTTCAATTGAATCCAATTTACTTAATATAAAATTGTTCTCTTTCATATGATTCTGATTTAACAATCCAGTAATTATGACAAAAGACATGTTGACAGAGTTACGTATTGATTTTTTTTCTTTTTGAAATCAAATGACCAGTTAGCGTTTACGTAAAATATACTGCATGCGCACTCTTCTGCAAAACAATGCTACCCATTGTAGTGCCTGGCAAATTATCTAATCAAAATAAAGTTAGTTGCTTTTTTGTAATTGAATTAAAAATCTGATTCTTTAAATTAGTGTTTTGAAAAAAAAAAGTTTTATGGAAAAAACAGACTGCATGAAATATTTTATTTATTTTTTAATTGATATGTGACTGCATGTATTCTTTCATACAAATTTCAATTAACAGTCTCCAGCACTTAATTATGTCGGGGGACTCTTTCGACAAAGTTGTACGTATTGATAATTTTTTATCGAACGACTAGTTTATGGACAAGCGAAAAATATTCTGAAGAAATCAACATTCCTCTTTGACTGGTGAGTAATTCTTTTTTCACCTGCAAGCGTATTAATGCTTCGTATCTTCATAATTTACCTATACTTATATTGCACTGCACTACAATGTAATGTCATTCAAAAATTCATAAGTCCAATTTTGTTTTACATGATTTTTTTTTTATTGAAGATAAAGTTGAAACAAAATCTCTTTAATTTTAATTTTTCTTTTTTAAAAAGTTAGGGACATACTGGATGATCTTAAATAAAAAAAAAATCAGTGCTGCAATGCATCCCATTGTAATTGCTTGACGTCTACTGTCTACTTAAAACATATTTGGTCTATCTTTTTTATGTTAAACATTGAAATAAATAGGAATTTTCCTGTCTGACTGAGGAATGGACATCTTGAGACTCGATCAAACAAAGCGCCCATTGTAGAACAATCAAGAGAGCTTTCAGTACTACATGCTTAGCCATCTAGCAGTACTTGTTTTGTGAGAGAAACTCACATTACGTGCACATGTAAGACCATACTTAACATGTGTGAGTGACTCTCTTGTCTTATATAGTATACAAGCTTGTTATCCGTTAATATTGCCTAAACATTTGCATAATCGTTTTGTCTACGTTGTTCAAAGGGGCATAATTTGATTATCGAACTTTGTAAGAAACTGACAGTATGCAAATTTTGCAACAAACTTTCAGCAGCAAGAGGAAATTGTATATAAAGGGTGACTTTGGAGGGTGGATGGTGGGGAATGTTTCTAAAGGGCATTAACTAATTGTGCATGTTAAAATACAAGTATAACCTACTGCACCATTACTGCACTCTACTGCAACACAGTGCAACACATTGTAGTGCCTAGCAAATCATCCAATCAAAATAAACTTAGTCAGTTTGTTGTGATTGAACTAAAAATATGATTAAACACTTTTTTTCTTTAAATTAGTGTTTTGAAAAAAAAGTTTTATGGAAAAAACAGACTGCATGAAATATTTTATTTATTTTTTAATTGATATATGACTGCATGTATTCTTTCATACAAATTTCAATTAACAGTCTCCAGCACTTAATTATGTCGGGGGACTCTTTGACAAAGTTGTACGTATTGATAATTTTTTATCGAACGACTAGTTTATGGACAAGCGAAAAATATTCTGAAGAAATCAACACTCCTCTTTGACTGGTGAGTAATTCTATTTTCACCTGCAAGCATATTTTAAATGCTTCGTATCTTCATAATTTACCTATAGTTTTATTTAGTGACTATAAATCCCCCCTTTTTACCTTAAACTTTTTTTTTATAAAACACCATCCTATAAACCTGGCCTCAACCACATTAAAAATAAAAATAACATTTAATTGCGTTTTAGCGTGCTTGTCATGACCTTTTATTATATGTACATTTTAATATGTAATTCACAAATATATGCGCCGATTACAATTATATGGCAGCATAAATATAGATGAGACAGCAATAGAAATACCACCTGGATCCAAGGAGCCTGGAGACAACAGTACCCCCCGGAGACGGTATTCTATGCAAAATTATGCCAAGTCCATTAGACGCAAAAAACTGTCCATTAGACGAAAGTTTTGTCACATGGCTACCAATCGGCGCTGGCACTGACATCCCTTGTTAACAAGTCCTGGTCATGACGCTGAAAAAAAAATTGAAAAAACAGAAGACACCATTCTCAGAATTTATAACTTAAAATTTTTATTTTTTGGAGGTGGGTGGGAGGGATTTCGTGTGTTCTGCTCTGAGGGTTGATGAAGAAAAAGGACGAGTTGAAAGCGCATGCTCACCAAATGAAAGACAAGTTTGCGCATGATCACGTCATAGAAAAAGGGGTACACCACAGGGAAACCACCATTGATTTACTTATAAGAGTACTGCCCTTTGCCCAATGAAATTATGCACCAGAATTACTGCACTAAATAACCTGGTTTATCCTTATGAGATAAACCCTATTATTTAGTGACTATAAATCCCCCCTTTTTACCTTAAACTTTTTTTTATAAAACACCATCCTATAAACCTGGCCTCAACCACATTAAAAATAAAAACAACATTTAATTGTGTTTGGCGTGCTTGTGATGACCTTTTATTATATGTACATTTTAATATGTAATTCACAAATATATGCGCCGATTACAATTATATGGCAGCATAAATATAGATGAGACAGCAATAGAAATACCACCTGGATTCAAGGAGCCTAGAGACAACAGTACCCCCCGGAGACGGTATTCCATGCAAAATTATGCCAAATGGTACATAAGACAAAGTCGAATGTACCATCCGCCATAAAACAAGGCGGCAATTTTGCCCCTTAACAGATTGAAATATGCAAAACATGATAAAATTCAAATCCCTCCCCCATTTTTCTTGAATCTCATTTTTTTTTATCTTGGTATTTTTCTAAAGCACTTTCATGCATATTTTAAATTCATTCATCAATTCTTGCATGGAATGTTGAAATGTCCAGCGAGAGTTATTTCTTAATTGTTGGTTGACAACTGTTTATATGCAGCGAAGATCTATGTCATTTTTCTTGTGTTTCGATGTGTTGAATGTCAGACATCGTCTTGCTATTTAATTACACGCTTTTTGTTGGCTTAATTGTACATACGTAATTATAAAGTTGTGCTGTAATTTAGGATTATCTTAAAGTTACCTTATTTCTTGTGTGATCGATGTTTTATGGTCTTCGAGTACACACGTTTCACTGAAACTTCTGCCGCCGCCATACTTTGTTTACTTGTGTATTTTCCCGTGATGCTTCACGGTGATCTATTTTTACTGGAGTTATTTCGGCGGAAGATTTGATTGTAAATTCTTTTAAATTAAATGTTAAACAGTGTTAAATGAGCTTTTAAAAGTGTAACTTTATGTTTTATGAATTTATTTAATTTATTTACGTATTGTAATAATTTTACATACGATGTACGAGAGTGAGATTTCATTACGGGACGATGATTACATTTGATTGGCTGATTATTATTTACGGGATGGAATTATTAGTTATGATTGGTTATGAATTATTGCGGGTTTTGCTAATTCTATAAATACTCAGATGCTGAATATCGTTTGCTCTCTTGTTTTCTTTGTGACCTAGAGAAAGGTTGCCAGTTTTGTCCAGAGTAATTTAAGGTGTGTACTATTTCAGTATCTTTGTGACTGAAGTACATAATACATAATGTTAGGTTAGGCTAAATTAATATTACTAGTAATTGTACTAGTTTTATTTATAATTACTAGTTGTGAACTAGTTATTTTTTATCTTCTTTAGCCCAGTTTAGGAGTTAGGAAATATTTCTGCTGCGTGCTAGTAGTTGAACTAGTAGCGGGAATATTTATTTGTAAATTAATTATAAGTCATTTATAGAGAGCCTTTACGTTTTATTTTGGTCGGGGGAATTTCTACTTAAATCATAAATTTACTGGAAATAGTGCCAGTTGCCCAGTTCTATATCAGTAGTTGTACTGATTTTGGTCTTAGATCTATGTCCCGAGGGTTGAGACTTGTGTGAATTTCAAACATTGTTATTTATTTTCGCTGTTCATGTATTACTGAATAAAATTATAAAACTTTACATCGAAGTTTTTGTTCTCAACACAAGGCAGGCGTTCCGAAGCGTTACAATTTTGGCATCCACGGCGGGATCCGTTTAAATTTACGGGTCCTGTGATCGAATCATAACAACGCTTTGTCTGTGTTTGAGAAACAAAAATTTTATTAAGCAACATCAAATAAAAATAAATCACAATGGCAGGACGTAAAAGTCGACGGAAACGTCGTGGTCTTCAAGAATCCAGACCTACCTCACGAGTTTCGTGTTCCTCTGTAGATACTGTAAGAGAAAATGAAAGCGAATGTGAATTTCCGTGTGAAGGAGCTGACATGCACAGAACTAAACCACTTGTTCATTCAAATAAAGAAGCCTCTCAATTTTTACATAACTCAGATACAAGTTTAATGCTTGTGAGTTCTCAGGCAGACGTTGTGAGAGATGGAGAACCTACACCTTTTATTGGGAACTCAGATACAGTTTCTGTAACTGTGAGTACCACTACAGAGCAGCCACAGACAACAAACAGTGTAGTTACGCCTAAAATGAGCCATCTTCACACCTGTGGTCCCACAACTCAGATGCCTTTTGTACCTGTTTGCTCACATTTTGCTGAGAATTTGTGTACAGGTTTTCCTAGAGAGCCGACAGCTGTCCCTAGTATGTATGTACCTGCAGTCCCCAGTACAGGTACTCACATGAGCCCCTCCATTACGCAGACAGCAAGTCCAGTATATGGGTTACCTGTGAACTCTCATACACACAGCACTTTGAGTTCATGTACAGGTACAAATTATCGCACTACCTTACCTGTAAACTCTTATGCAGTTCCTTGTACTGCGAGTTTTCAAGGTCCTGTTTATTGTCATCAAAACCAGAGCGCCCATATGTTGACCCCATTCCCCACAATTACAACATCGGCTCACAACGTTTGCGCAAGAACTCATTTACCTCTAAGTTTGTGTACAGGTTCTGTGCCCGTAAGTTCTTGTACAGGTAATGTACCTGTAAGCCCATGTACATGTACAGGTTCTGTACCTGTTGGTCTAAGTACAGGTTCTGTGCCTGTTAGTTCGTGTACAGGTTCTGTACCTGTGATGCTGAATCAGACCTTCTCTGCTCCCATGAGAAGTGCACGAGATATATCAAAGACAGAAAGCGAGCAAACTGCACTTGTCCAGCTCACGGAGATGGTAGAGCATTTACAAGAGAAAATTAAACAGCTCTCTGAACAAGATCACCACCAAAGGACCAACCCTGACAACAGACAATCAGATACATGCAGTACGTCTCACGAGTGTTTGAGTAGCGACAGAGAAACATCGCAAGAGTCTGACTTTGTGTACCGGAAAAAGGCTAAGCATCACAATGTAAAGATTCCTCCATACTCAGGGAAAGAAGACTGGTCTGTCTGGTTCTGTCGTTTTGAGGAAGTTGCAGATAGATACCACTGGACAACAGATGACAAACTGGACCAATTACTGCCCAGATTACATGAAGATGCTGCTGACTTTGTTTATGGCCAATTATCGAAAGAGTCCAGAAGTAGTTATAAGAGACTTACAAAGGAACTGACCAATCGTTTTCGTGCAATCGAAACCAGTCGTACATATCTGTCAAAATTTAATAACAGAGTTCAGAAGCCTGGTGAGCGAGTCGAGGACTTTGCTGCTGATTTGAAGCGCCTGTATGTCAAAGCCCACCCAGAGCGAGACTCAAAGACTAGAGAGGAAGACTTGCTCAGGAAATTTTTAGATGGTCTGGCTGACAGAGAAGCCCAATTTCATGTAGAATACGTCAAGGACCCCTCAGATATACATGAAGCTGTACGACAGGTTATAAATTATGAAGAAGCAGGTCGGCCTTCAACTAAGAAACATGTCAGAGAGGTGAAGTCGCTGTACAGTGATTCTGAATCTGAGGCCTCATCTAAGACAGTCACTAAAGACAAGTCGATGAAAAAGAAGAAGCGCATCAGAAATGTAAAGTACGGCCAAGGAAACAAACAAGCATCAGTTGGCACTATCGAAGCCTTGCAGAAACAAGTCGATGAGATGGCAAAAGTTCTCAGCAACCTGACTAAGCAGAGCAACACTGGGACACAGCCAAGTAGGCCTATTATTGGTACATCTCAACCAGACATGTCTTCGGGTCAAATGGCTCCTCTGGACAGACCACAGAAACATAGCTGTTTTTACTGCAAAGCTGAAGGTCATTTCATAAGGGACTGCCCAAAGAGAATTAATGACCTTCAAGTATCAAAGGCACCTTTAAACAGGCATTAGCCGTTCCTGTGGGTCAAGGACCGGCTACAGAAGAAACTGACAGACAGACGAACAGTTTAGACCCACCAACAGACCGACAACCAGATAATTTTGATGAGTCAGAAGATTTTTGTTTTATTTCTAATCGAATACCAGATGCAGATGGTGTGTACATAGAAGGAAAAGTAAATGGTTTAGATGTCCACATTACAACAGATACTGGTGCATCCAATACTATACTTTCATACAAAGTGTATGAACAACTCAAAGAGGTGAACAGACCCAGACTTCAAGGAAAGTCGCACTTGCGAGGAGCTGACGGAAGTACCATTCATGTTTATGGGAAAGGAGCGTTTGATTTGCAACTTGGTTCCTTGGCCCTCAAGAAAAACCTTTTAGTAGCTGATATCCAAGATGAAGTGTTACTTGGAGTGGACATCCTGCAGAATAGTGATATTGGTCAAGCAGATATTCTCCTGAGTAAAGGACTGATAAGGTTCAAAGGTCATGATATTCCATGCATACAACGTGGTGTGCCTAAAGATATTACCCTCCGTTGTGTGGAGAGATGTGATATACCTGGGAATACAGAAGTAATAATACCGACTTTTATTCAGCGTGAATGTGAGGTTGATGTTGAAGAGGACCTTATGTTCGTGCCAAGTGGAGATCTTATGGAGAAGACCTCCTTACTGTTAGCCCCAGCAGTTCTTAACATCAGAGGGAAACTGTGTGTACCCCTGAGAGTTATGAACCCTTTTGATGAGGGTAAAACGCTTTATCCAGACACAGTAGTGGGTACTGTTGAAGGATATGGGGGAATAGTAAATGTAATTCGACCGGTTTATAGTGACCTAAGAAGCCTTCGCCGATCTACTGAACTTTCGCCTGGAGAGGCATGTGAGGTTCCAGATCATTTACGTGAACTGTATGATGGCTCTTCCCAGTCCTTAAATATGTCAGAAAAAGAAGCTTTTCGGAAATTCTTGCTTGACCATCAGGATGCATTTTCAAAAGATGAATGGGACCTAGGACAAACCAATTTAGTAGAACATGAGATTAATACTGGTGACAGCAAACCTGTAAAACAGCCACCTCGTAGAGTTCCAATAGCGCTAGCCAATGAGGAGAGAGATGCCATTCTGAACCTTAGAGAGAGGGGCATAATACAACCTTCTACATCACCTTGGTCCTCTCCACTGGTCTTAGCTAGAAAGAAGAATGGAAAAATAAGAGTCTGTGTAGATTATCGAGCTGTAAATAATTTAACAGTTAAGGACGCATTCCCACTCCCACGAATTCAAGACTGTCTAGATTCCGTTGCAGGAGCTTCAATGTTTTCCACTCTGGATTTGACAGCAGGATATCACCAAGTCAGAGTCAAGGCTGAAGATATACCAAAAACAGCATTTGTTACAAAATATGGTCATTTCGAGTATAAAACCATGCCTTTTGGATTGACTAATGCACCAGGTACATTCCAGAGACTTATGGAGATGGCATTAAATGGCCTCCAGTGGGACATTTGTCTTATTTATTTGGACGATGTAGTGATATTTAGCAGAAATTTTGATGAACACATGTCCAGACTTAGCCAAGTGGTTCAGAGAATAACAGATGCAGGTTTAAAATTGAAACCTGAGAAATGTAGCCTTTTTCAAGATGAAGTTATTTTCCTTGGACATAAAGTCACTAAAGATGGAGTCTTACCAGATAAGCAGAATGTAGAGAAAATTTTGAATTGGACCAGACCAAATAATGTTACTGAAGTACGACAATTCCTTGGAACTGCCTCTTACTACAGGAGATTTATAAAAGGGTTTTCGGTGATAGCTAAACCTCTTACTGAACTTACACAAAAGAACCATTCTTTTCATTGGACAGACTTATGCGAGCAAGCATTTCTGCAACTGAAGAAAATCCTTACTGGGCCCGATATAATGGGATATCCTGACCCAAACCAAGGCCATTTTATACTCGACACAGACGCCTGTGATGTAGGCATTGGTGCTGTATTGAGCCAAGTACAGGATGGACGTGAGAAAGTGTTAGCCTATGGTAGTCGAACCCTAAACCGTGCTGAAAGGAACTATTGTGTAACTGATAAAGAGCTCCTAGCTGTTCGTTATTTTGTGGAATACTTCAAACAATATCTTTTGGGACAAAGATTTATCCTTAGGACTGATCACCAAGCATTAGTCTGGCTATATAAACTGAAAGAACCTAAAGGAAGAGTGGCTCGCTGGATTGAAATATTGTCAGCCTACAATTTTGAAATTGAGTATAGGCCTGGTACACAGCATGGTAATGCTGACGGTCTATCAAGATGTCCGAACCCAGCCGACTGTAGCTGCTCAGAAGGTGACAGTTTAGAAAGCCTGAAATGCGGACCTTGTATTAAGTGCAGAAAGAGAGCTGAGACTATTGAAACTTAGGAAAACCTTAATCAGGGGGGTGCTATTCGTGTGACAACAAGAAAGCGTGACAGTTCTAAAAATTTACCTGAAGGGACACAATGGATGTCAAAGTACAACTCATCAAGTCTACAATGTCTCCAGATGGAAGATAATGGTATTGGTCCAGTGCTTAAGTGGAAACTGGCAGGAAGTAAACCTACAAAAGAGGAAGTGGTCAAATACTCTCCAGCAACCAGACGTTCCGTTCCGCAGCAGGAGACAGCATAGGATGTGATTCTAGGACAAAATTAAATTGGTAATTTTGAGTAATAAGTAATGTAAGTTAAGAAAATTCATTTATGCATTGTCAATATTTGTTGTAAATTTGGAGATAAGGTTGGGAATGAGATTGATTTGTGGACTTTATATGTAATTTTTTCAAAATTTGATATTTCAAGCATTAAGTCTGATGATAATGAGATTCATTTCTGTAATATTATTTATCTTTGATATTTTTGCTTGACGAGATCTTAGTGTCCTTCCTCTTTTCTGTAATCCTGTGAATGAAAATAAGAAAGATTGTACATTACTTGTTATTTACAAGTTATACTTAGAGTTATACTTATATGTCTAAACTGTTAGCATTAGCATTATCAGAACACTGTATTTATATGTGCAAGTTCAGATGATGAATTTGTCAGAGGCTGCTAATATTTTTGTAAGATAAACTCATTCTTTAAATGACGGTTATTAAATATTAATTGAATTTTATTATTCATGTACATTTTAACTTACTTACCTTATCACACTGTATACTATGCTCTGCTCATTTGTCTTCAAGATTATGATGAATTCCATGTTTTGATTTAGCATTTTGTGTTTATGTATAAAGTTTCTTTCATATTGATTTGTGATATGTATGAAGGTTGGAGTAGTAGTGTTATAGTTTGTAAAATTCTATGATTTATTCATTCCTAGAGATGTGAATTTTTGTGAAGTTAACACACATTTTATGAGGTAATTTTTGTGAAGTACAGCATTTATTTGGAGTAGTCTCCCTTGTGTGTATTGATTAGCTGTACTGTTCATGGAAGTATATGTGTATTGAGTGTTTAAGCAGTAATATGCCATTAATTGTTTTAATTAATTGTTGTATTTGAATTTTATTGTTTGTATTTTGAGTCCAAAGGGACTTGGACTCTTAGAGAGGGGCAAAATGTAACGATCCCTCCCCCATTTTTCTTGAATCTCATTTTTTTTTATCTTGGTATTTTTCTAAAGCACTTTCATGCATATTTTAAATTCATTCATCAATTCTTGCATGGAATGTTGAAATGTCCAGCGAGAGTTATTTCTTAATTGTTGGTTGACAACTGTTTATATGCAGCGGAGATCTATGTTATTTTTCTTGTGTTTCGATGTGTTGAATGTCAGACATCGTCTTGCTATTTATTTACACGCTTTTTGTTGGCTAAATTGTACATACGTACTTATGAAGTTGTGTTGTAATTTAGATTATCTTAAAGTTACCTTATTTCTTGTGTGATCGATGTTTTATGGTCTTCGAGTACACACGTTTCACTGAAACTTCTGCCGCCGCCATACTTTGTTTACTTGTGTATTTTCCCGTGATGCTTCACGGTGATCTATTTTTACTGGAGTTATTTCGGCGGAAGATTTGATTGTAAATTCTTTTAAATTAAATGTTAAACAGTGTTAAATGAGCTTTTAAAAGTGTAACTTTATGTTTTATGAATTTATTTAATTTATTTACGTATTGTAATAATTTTACATACGATGTACGAGAGTGAGATTTCGTTACGGGACGATGATTACATTTGATTGGCTGATTATTATTTACGGGATGGAATTATTAGTTATGATTGGTTATGAATTATTGCGGGTTTTGTTAATTCTATAAATACCCAGATGCTGAATATCGTTTGCTCTCTTGTTTTCTTTGTGACCTAGAGAAAGGTTGCCAGTTTTGTCCAGAGTAATTTAAGGTGTGTACTAGTTCAGTATCTTTGTGACTGAAGTACATAATACATAATGTTAGGTTAGGCTAAATTAATTATTACTAGTAATTGTACTAGTTTTATTTATAATTACTAGTTGTGAACTAGTTATTTTTTTTTATCTTCTTTAGCCCAGTTTAGGAGTTAGGAAATATTTCTGCTGCGTGCTAGTAGTTGAACTAGTAGCGGGAATATTTATTTGTAAATTAATTATAAGTCATTTATAGAGAGCCTTTACGTTTTATTTTGGTCGGGGGAATTTCTACTTAAATCATAAATTTACTGGAAATAGTGCCAGTTGCCCAGTTCTATATCAGTAGTTGTACTGATTTTGGTCTTAGATCTATGTCCCGAGGGTTGAGACTTGTGAATTTCAAACTGTTATTTATTTTCGCTGTTCATGTATTACTGAATAAAATTATAAAACTTTACATCGAAGTTTTTGTTCTCAACACAAGGCAGGCGTTCCGAAGCGTTACAATTTTGGCATCCAGCGTTACATCGAATCATAACAACGCTTCGTCTGTGTTTGAGAAACAAAAATTTTATTAAGCAAACATCAAATAAAAATAAATCACAATGGCAGGTCGTAAAAGTCGACGGAGGCGTCGTGGTCTTCAGGAATCTAGATCTACCTCACGGATTTCGTGCTCCTCCGTAGATACTGTAAGAGAAAATGAAAGCGAATGTGAATTTCCGTGTGAAGGAACCGACATGCACAGAACTAAGCCAGTTGTTCATTCAAATAAAGAAGCCTCTCAGTTAGCAAATTTACATGACTCAGATACAAGTTTAATGCTTGTGAGTTCTCAGGCAGACGTTGTGAGAGACGGAGAATCTACACCTTTTATTGGAAACTCAGATACAGTTTCTGTAACTGTGAGTTCTACTACAGAGCAGCCACAGACAGCAGACAGTGTAGTTACGCCTAAAATGAGCCATCTTCACACCTGTGGTCCCATAACTCAGATGCCTTTTGTACCTGTTTGCTCACATTTTGCTGAGAATTTATGTACAGGTTTTCCTAGAGAGCCGACAGCTGTCCCTAGTATGTATATACCTGCAGTCCCTAGTACAGGTACTCACATGAGCCCCTCCACAACACAGACAGCAAGTCCAGTATATGGGTTACCTGTGAACTCTCATACACACAGCACTTCTTTGAGTTCATGTACAGGTACAAATTATCACACTACCTTACCTGTGAACTCTTATGCAGTTCCTTGTACTGCGAGTTTTCAAGGTCCTGTTTATTGTCATCAAAACCAGAGCGCACATATGTTTACCCCATTTCCCACAATTACAACATCAGCTCACAACATTTGCGCAAGAACTCATTTACCTCTAAGTTTGTGTACAGGTAATGTACCTGTAAGCTTATGTACATGTACAGGTTCTGTGCCTGGTGTAAGTACAGGTTCTGTGCCTGTAAGTTTGTGTACAGGTTCTGTACCTGTGAGGCCGAATCAGACCTTCTCTGCTCCCATGAGAAGTGCACGAGATATATCAAGGACAGAAAGCGAGCAAACTGCACTTATCCAGCTCACGGAGATGGTAGAGCATTTACAAGAGAAAATTAAACAGCTCTCTGAACAAGATCATCACCAAAGGACCAACCCTGACAACAGACAATCAGATACATGTAATACGTCTCACGAGTGTTTGAGTAGCGACAGAGAAACATCGCAAGAGTCTGACTTTGTGTACCGGAAAAAGGCTAGTAAGCATCACAATGTAAAGATTCCTCCATACACAGGGAAAGAAGACTGGTCTGTCTGGTTCTGTCGTTTTGAGGAAGTTGCAGATAGATACCACTGGACAACAGATGACAAACTTGTTAGGTTAGGCTAAATTAATTATTACTAGTAATTGTACTAGTTTTATTTATAATTACTAGTTGTGAACTAGTTATTTTTATCTTCTTTAGCCCAGTTTAGGAGTTAGGAAATATTTCTGCTGCGTGCTAGTATTTGAACTAGTAGCGGGAATATTTATTTGTAAATTAATTATAAGTTATTTATAGAGAGCCTTTACGTTTTATTTTGGTCGGGGGAATTTCTACTTAAATCATAAATTTACTGGAAATAGTGCCAGTTGCCCAGTTCTATATCAGTAGTTGTACTGATTTTGGTCTTAGATCTATGTCCCGAGGGTTGAGACTTGTGTGAATTTCAAACATTGTTATTTATTTTCGCTGTTCATGTATTACTGAATAAAATTATAAAACTTTACACCGAAGTTTTTGTTCTCAGCACAAGGCAGGCGTTCCGAAGCGTTACAATTTTGGCATCCACGGCGGGATGCCAAAAATTGTAACGCTTCGGAACGCCTGCCTTGTGTTGAGAACAAAAACTCCGATGTAAAGTTTTATAATTTTATTCAGTAATTCATAAACAGCGAAAATAAATAACAGTTTGAAATTCACAAGTCTCAACCCTCGGGACATAGATCTAAGACCAAAATCAGTACAACTACTGATATAGGACTGGGCAACTGGCACTATTTCCAGTAATTTATGATTTAAGTAAATTCCCCCGACCAAAATAAAACGTAAAGGCTCTCTATAAATGACATAATTAATTTACAAATAAATATTCCCTCTACTAGTACAACTACTAGCACGCTGCAGAAATATTTCCTAACTCCTAAACTGGGCTAAAGAAGATAAAAAAAATAACTAGTTCACAACTAGTAATTATAAATAAAACTAGTACAATTACTAGTAATATGAATTTAGCCTAACCTAACATTACGTATTTAATATGTACTTCAGTCACTTAGATACTGAAATAGTACACACCTTAAATTACTCTGGACAAAACTGGCAACCTTTCTCTAGGTCACAAAGAAAACGAGAGAGCAAACAATATTCAGCATCTGGGTATTTATAGAATTAACAAAACCCGCAATAATTCATAACCAATCATAACTAATAATTCCATCCCGTAAATAATAATCAGCCAATCAAATGTAATCGTCGTCCCGTAACGAAATCTCACTCTCGTACATCGTATGTAAAATTATTACAATACGTAAATAAATTAAATAAATTCATAAAACATAAAATTACACTTTTAAAAGCTCATTTAACACTGTTTAACATTTAATTTAAAAGAATTTACAATCAAATCTTCCGCCGAAATAACTCCAGTAAAAATAGATCACCGTGAAGCATCATGGGAAAATACACAAGTAAACAAAGTATGGCGGCGGCAGAAGTTTCAGTGAACATGTGTACTCGAAGACCATAAAACATCGATCACACAAGAAATAAGGTAACTTTAAGATAATCCTGAATTACAGCACAACTTTATAATTACGTATGTACAATTAAGCCAACAAAAAGCGTGTAATTAAATAACAAGACAAAATCTGACATTCAACACATCGAAACACAAGAAAAATGGCATAGATCTTCACTACACTTAAGCAGTTGTCAACCAACATTTAAGACATAACTCTCGCTGGACATTTCAACATTCCATACAAGAATTGATGAATGAATTTAAAGTATGCATGAAAGTGCTTTAGATAAATGCCAAGATAAAAAATGAGATTCAAGAAAAATGGGGGAGGGATCGTTACATTTTGCGAACTAGTAGCGGGAATATTTATTTGTAAATTAATTATAAGTTATTTATAGAGAGCCTTTACGTTTTATTTTGGTCGGGGGAATTTCTACTTAAATCATAAATTTACTGGAAATAGTGCCAGTTGCCCAGTTCTATATCAGTAGTTGTACTGATTTTGGTCTTAGATCTATGTCCCGAGGGTTGAGACTTGTGTGAATTTCAAACATTGTTATTTATTTTCGCTGTTCATGTATTACTGAATAAAATTATAAAACTTTACACCGAAGTTTTTGTTCTCAGCACAAGGCAGGCGTTCCGAAGCGTTACAATACCTAACCATGACAAGCACAACCATTTCAAGGAAAGGTCCTGTTTTGAAATTTACAAGGTAAAAATTGTTTCAATGCACCCTTTACAGTATTAATAAACAAATCATTGCCTAATCTGTCATGTGAACACCATCTGAGCGGAATAAATTTCTTTGATTTGCAGTTATATCTGGGTACTTAATAGCTGCTCCATTTAATTTACTGTAGACGTTCTTTTTTCCACGGGGTCATAATTCCGCGGAATTTCAATTTCTGTTTAATCTGCGTGTAGAAAATTAAGCGGATTTCTTAGACTGACTCTATATGCCTTACATTTATGTTAAGTACGCTTGGACGAATTTCCGCGGAAAGTTTGTGACCGCGTACATAGCGTAAATTAATACCACGCGGAAAAAAGTACTTCTACAGTATTTAATACAAAAGATGCTACTGAACTATTGATTCTCCGCCTACATTTTTCTCCTTCAGTGTTAGCTACAACATTTGACCAGTTTCTACTTTGCAAGATATGAGACCAAATAATACTGCAATTTGGTAATCGTTCTTTTACCTTTGCTAAATTAGCCTTTATCATCATTTGTATACCTCTTAAAGTGTTATGCTGTTGTCCAATGTTGTTCCCCCCACAGTGAATAATAATGATATCTGGAGTTCTGTTACTAACTAATAAAAAGTCTAATGTTGGGTTTAATTGCTCCCATACCATTCCACGAATTCCATGCCACAATATTTTCGTTTGGCCTAATCCCAGGTGTGACTGATTAGATTTGACTGCATAGCTATGTGCCCAATGTACAATTGAAGATCCTATAATCCAAATGACCCCTGCA